TCTGTAAATGTGATCGTTAATCACTCTGCACTCCAGCAACATTTTGTTCTGACCTATGTTTTATTGGGATTTGAGATCAAATTATACACTTTGCGTTTCGCACCAGGGAAAAGCGAAAAAAACAATCCACTGCTAGTAGTGACTGAAAATTAACTACAACTGCAGATTTACAGCAAGCAAGAGTCTTCACTATCACACAACAAACTTAATATTCAGGATACATTTCATATATCACTTATCAGTCCTTAGCTAAAAGAAGAGCCCACGCCATGTCTCTTCCTAATCATTACATAGAAAGAGTCCTTTACATCAACATTCAACAAAAGGATAACGTGTTATGAATGCTAAACTTTAAAGTAGTCATTAAGTTGATCTATGTTCTTACCTGTTCTTTGTTAGGTAAAGTCTGAGTTCTGGTAAAAGTGTCTCCTCCATTTATACTGATGAGTTCAGCATCTACAGGCGGAAACGATGCGGGGAAAACCACTACGTCACTCTTGAGTGTATCTGAGCTGAAACACACGTCATACTGCTGAGTAGCTTTGGAGTAAGACCAGCTCCCGTCAGGGTGGGTGGTGATCATTGGGGCTCCGTACCTGCTGAAACTGCCGTCTGTCCTGTGACATTTGACAGCTATTAAAGTGATGAGGCTGAGCAGGAAGATGGCTGACACCGACACTATGGCGATGAGCAGATACAGGTTTAAATCAGAGAAGCTCTCCTCCTTTATGGTCACATGTCTGAACTGAGTGTGGATGTCAGCATTGCTTTCAACCACCACCACATCAATAGACACAGTAGCTGACAGGGAGGGTTCTCCATTATCAGAGACCAGCACCACCAAGGGGTGAGTTTTCAGGTCATTGTCACTCATTCTCCTCTTAGTCCTGATCTCTCCGGTGCTGGTTCCGATCCGGAAGAGATTATTTCCTTTGGGCTCAGAGAGGTGATAAGAGAGCAGCGCGTTGTATCCAGAGTCTGTGTCTACAGCCCTGATCTTTGCCACAAAGTATCCCGCTTCAGCAGAATAGGGGATGCTCTCACTGTTGACGGAGCCGTGCTCAGAATAGGGCGCGAGAATAGTTGGATTATTGTCATTTTCATCCAGGATCAAAACATTCACAGTCACGTTGCTGCTGAGTGGAGGAACACCAGAGTCTGTGGCCTGAACTTTAAACTGAAACGTTTTTAACTCCTCATAGTTAAAAGACTGCAGGCTGACTATATCTCCAGTCTCTGAGTTGATGTTAATCATTGACGCTAACTGGGTTATCTTGACAGAGCTTCTGATTAAATTGTATATTGCTTTTGCGTTTTCATTCAAATCTGAATCTATCGTCGATAGTGTATGAATTGTTGTTCCAATTGGGCTATTCTCCTTCACATAAACGTTGATTAAAGGTTCAGAGAAACGAGGAGGATTGTCATTGACGTCAGAAATGTGAACAGTTATGACACTCGTGCTCGACAAAGCAGGAGTCCCTTCATCTGTAGCAGTAATTGATACATTATACTGGGAAACACTCTCTCTGTCAAGAGGCCCGTCAACCAGCAACGAGTAATAGTTTTTATAGTTAGATTTTAATTTAAAAGGAAGGGAATCTGCAATTTTACAGTTTGTCAGGCCATTTTTGCCCCCGTCTTTATCAGTTATAGTCACCATAGCAACAGCTGTCCCCTTTTCCGCGTCCTCTTTCACTTGACTCATTAGAGATGACACCGAGATTTCTGGAGCATTGTCATTGACATCAATAACTTCGACTAAAACCTTACTATGTGCAGTGCGAGGAGGGTTACCTTTATCTCGTGCCTGAACACGAATCTCGTATGCTTGATTTTCCTCATAATCGATATTACCTTTCACTGTAATTTCCCCAGTATTTTCATCTAGAGCAAATTTGTTATCAGGCTTTAAACGGCCCTTTTCTGTAAAAGAGTAAAACAGCTGAGCATTGACACCTTCATCTAAATCACTGGCTGTTAGTTTTAATAAAGTCGTGCCAATATTTGCATTTTCAACTATTTGTACCTTGTAAAGAGATTTACTGAACAAAGGTGAATTGTCATTTACATCCAAGACATTAACATGTATCTGTAAAGTTCCCGTTTTTGGAGGTTTTCCTCCATCTATCGCTGTCAGCGTGAGTTCAATAACAGCCTGTTTTTCTCGATCTAATGCTTTCTGAAGCACTAACTCAGCAGACACACTTTGGTCACTACTACCCTGTATATCTAAAGAGAAATATTCATTAGAGTTTAATGTGTAAGTCTTTACCGAGTTAATGCCTACGTCAGCGTCTTGAGCGATCGGAAGCGGGTGTCTTTCACCGACATAAGAGGACTCAGACATATCTATTGCAGTTAATTCTTCCAAAAAAAAGGGAGCATTATCGTTAATATCAGTAATTACAACTTCAATGCGATGGAGACTGCGGGGGTTGCTTAATATGGCCTCTACATTTAAAGAGCACTTTACCGTATTAGGACAAACCTCCTCCCGATCTACCCTCTCGCTCACGAAAAGTAGTCCAGACTCATGATTTATGTCAAAATACTGTTTTTTATAGGCGGAGGTAATCTGAAGACCCGCCGAATGAAGCTGCTGTGCGCTGAGATTTAAATCCTTAGCGAGATTTCCCACCGATGCTCCTTTGTCCACCTCCTCTGAAATGGAGTAGGATATCTGAGCAACGGACCAGTCGCAGAGACAAAGCAGAAAGAAAAACAGACCCGCAATATTATCCCATTGTTCCCGGACTGCCATTGCTGTTTAGTCAAAAGCGACTAATCCTGGCTCCTGCCTATTGGCCTTTCCACGAAAATTGGGGGGGGGGAAATATCTTTTTACTTCTCCATTCTCGGTTATGATCCTCTCTGTGAACGGCAAACACTCGTCTGTACGCTGAATCCACAAAGCCCAGCCTGATGATGACGTGTTTCCCCCCCTCATGAATAGAGGAGGAGTTTGTAAACCACAAGCACAAGATATTTGCATGGTCTTTGGCGACATCTCGTGACACGTTTGGATACATATGCACGATGTGAGACACAAACAAGAGCTTAATATATTAAAATTGGCCAGACAAATTAGAAAGACCTGAGCTCTGCAGATACACTGTATAGAATAGCCTGATCCCTACTGTTATAACGGCCCAAAACACAAGGCCTCGCTGTTACAGGCCAGAGTGGGAACTCTTGACTTTTTGTCTATCTCTGTTTGTGTTAAACTCTGTTGTCTGTGTATGAATGTTCTTTGGTGGGACTTGTCTGTTTGGACAGTAACATTGCTGCGGAAAATAATTTCCCCTTGGGGACAATAAAGTCTACATGTGCAATCTTATAGATTAGCCCTCATGTTACAAATTACATTTTCTGAAGCTACTGAACTACTAGACACTACACAGTTTCAGTACCATGAACTGCACCCAAATCTCAAGACATGTAACAGAAGCCGTTTCAGCACCATGGACAGCAGCTCAGTGCAGTTTTCATAAACGCCCTGCCAGACTGAATTCAGTGTGCTTCATCCAAGACACGGTACAATTCAGCCAACATGTTTCAACTGTATTATATTGAGTTTCTTCTTGGGTTATAAAAAATGTTCACACAACGAGTAAGCACTCACTGAATCACATGCTAACTCTCTTACGTAACCCACCATTAAACCACAAAAGTTGTTATTTCTATCTTACACACCATTTCAAATTCTTAAAAAAAGGAGTAGAGAGTTAAAAAATATTACGTTTCAGACAATTATCTGTATGTAGGGTTGGAAAACAGATGCTTTACTTAACATAGACAATCAATCATTACAAATTCTACTTTTAGACATTCCTTACCTTTTCCTTGTTTGGTAAAGTCTGAGTTCTGGTATAAGTGTCTCCTCCATTAATACTGATGAGTTCAGCATCTACAGGTGGAAACGATGCGGGGAAAACCACTACGTCACTCTTAAGTGTGTCTGAGCTGAAACACACGTCATACTGCTGAGTAGCTTTGGAGTAAGACCAGCTCCCGTCAGGGTGGGTGGTGATCATTGGAGCTCCGTACCTGCTGAAACTGCCGTCTGTCCTGTGACATTTGACAGCTATTAAAGTGATGAGGCTGAGCAGGAAGATGGCTGACACCGACACTATGGCGATGAGCAGATACAGGTTTAAATCAGAGAAGCTCTCCTCCTTTATGGTCACATGTCTGAACTGAGTGTGGATGTCAGCTGCGCTTTCAACCACCACCACATCAATAGACACAGTAGCTGACAGGGAGGGTTCTCCATTATCAGAGACCAGCACCACCAAGGGGTGAGTTTTCAGGTCATTGTCACTCATTCTCCTCTTAGTCCTGATCTCTCCGGTGCTGGTTCCGATCCGGAAGAGATTGTTTCCTTTGGGCTCAGAGAGGTGATAAGAGAGCAGCGCGTTGTATCCAGAGTCTGCGTCTACAGCCCTGATCTTTGCCACAAAGTATCCCGCTTCAGCAGAATAGGGGATGCTCTCACTGTTGACGGAGCCGTGCTCAGAATAGGGCGCGAGAATAGTTGGATTATTGTCATTTTCATCCAGGATCAAAACATTCACAGTCACGTTGCTGCTGAGCGGAGGAACACCAGAGTCTGTGGCCTGAACTTTAAACTGAAACGTTTTTAACTCCTCATAGTTAAACGACTGCAGACTGACTATATCTCCAGTCTCTGAGTTGATTTTTATCACTGTAGATAGCTGAACTAAGTTATTATCAGATATTATTGAATAGGTCAATTGACCATTTTCACTAACATCAGCATCAGATGCAGACACTGTCTTTAAAACTATACCTATTTGACTGTTTTCTTTCACATACATATCAATTGCTTTCTCTGAAAATTGAGGTAGGTTGTCATTGACATCAGAAACCTGAATATGAACCACAGTAGTGTTAGAGAGGGGGGGCTTACCTTCATCGGTTGCTCTAATGGTGATATTGTAGTTGGAAATTAGTTCCCTGTCTAGAGCTCCAGCAATAACTAATGAATAGTAATTCTTGTAATTTGTCTCTAATTTGAATGGAACTAAATTCAATATTTCACAATTGACCTCGCCGTTTTTGCCCCCATCTCTGTCAAGAATGGACACAAGTGCAATAGCTGTGCCGATTTCAGCGTCCTCCCGCACTGTACCGAGCAGTGACGTCACTGTGATGTCAGGCGCATTGTCATTTAGATCCACCACCTCGACTAGTACTTTACACTGCGCTGTTAATGGAGGCTGGCCTTTGTCTGCTGCTTGAACGCGAATTTCGAAGGCAGTGTTTGTTTCAAAGTCTACCTTACCTTTCACAGTTATTATTCCTGTTTCTGAATTAATTTCGAAAATGTCCAAGACGTGGTCCTGATCTTTGGAATTTAGTAAATACACAATGTCTTTGTTTGTCCCCTCATCAGCGTCAGTTGCAGTCACTGTTACTACTGTGCTTCCAATTGGTGCATTTTCTATGACACTTGTTTTATACAATGTTTTTGTAAAGGCCGGAATGTTATCGTTATTATCCAGAACATTAATGATAATATCCGACGTGCCTGATTTGGATGGTGTTCCTCCGTCTACAGCAGTGAGAGCAAGTTTAATTAAAGCCTGTTTTTCTCGGTCTAGTGATTTCTGCAGGACCAGCTCAGCTGACACACTCCCTCCTTTGTGCACCACTAGAGAGAAATATTCATTGCTATTAAGCTTGTATGAGTCAATACTATTTTTCCCAACATCGGCATCGTAGGCCGACAGCACAGGGAATCTAGCTCCCGGCAAAACGCTTTCTGCTATGTCGATAGTTTGTGATTTAGCACTGAAAGATGGGGGATTATCATTAACATCAAGTATATTTACTTCAATACGGTAAAGTCTCATTGGGCTATTTATCACAGCCTCTACATTTATTGTGCATTTTGCAGCTTTCGCACAGAGCTCCTCTCTGTCTATTCTTTCGCTGACATAGAGAAACCCTGACTTCAAATTTACATCGAAATACTTCCTCTTTGATCCAGCAACGATCTGAAACATACGCGACTCCAAATCCTGCACATTAAGATTAAGATCCTTGGCGAGGTTTCCAACCGAAGTCCCAAGGTTTACCTCCTCTGAGACGGAGTAGGAAAGCTGCCCGGAAACCGCTCCCCAGTTATATTCCAAGACAACAAGCACAAGATAAATCCCAACTGAAGTCTTTCTCTCAGGCCGATACATTCTTCCATACAACGAGAACAAATCATATATTCTTATATCGACGCGTCTTTAGCCTACTGACGCCAAAACTTTGATTCACGGACCAAATCAGATGAAGGTGTGTTGTCTTTATCCATCCCCCTTCAGCCTGAGTCTCATTCTAACAAAGCACTGGCAAATATGATGATCATTTTAATGTGGGAGGAGCTTCCACACATCAGCGACCAGCTGGCGGTGTTACGGTCTATAGTGTAGCCCCATGGCCATTTGAAAGAACTACAACGCTTTGACATAGACATTCCAGTCACAGATGATAGACACATATTAATACTCCCTCACTACTGGGTGTGCTTTCAGGTCAGTTTAACAGAGAGTAATAATTTCAACACCGCGGACAGAGCCATAATATGCCAAAGCAGCACGGTAGAATACACACCATTCTGATAGAAAACTATAAAGAAAATTGTGATAAAAGTAAGGGACATTTCCACGGACTGAATAAAATATGTATTTGAGTTTAGCTCAGTTGGCACACAAACAAACAACCCAAGTGCATTACTTAGTAGACGCAAAACTGACAAACACAATACCAAGAAGTCTTGAAAAAAAAACAAAAAAAACTTAACTATGTGCAAAGGCTATCTTGAGAGTAAGCTCACTGAAAATAATTACATCTATAAAATTTCACGAAATAAAGGTTGCCAAAGATATCAAAAGACATATTAAACACTTTAAGCAAGAATGAAGGCTTGCAATTACACAAAAAAACATAATTACTTTTATTTTTTTCTCTCGTCCCGTAGTTTATAAACAATGCATGAGCTGGCGCGTACGTTCAGCACCAAGGATAGCGCCATACACTTAATAGAACCCGTTGCAGCACACCACACATTTTACGACAGGCTAAATATTAACGAAACGAAATTAAATTATTCGTGTAATGTTTCACATTACAAAACTGAGGTCCATATATTTGTCATTTCGTAGTCACGTGACATGCCAAAAAAACATTATTGGTACTGCTTTTCACAAAATCGCGAAAAGTCTTTCATAATTTCAAGAGTAAAGAGGTTGATTTATTCTTACCATTTCTTTGTTGGGTAAAGTCTGAGTTCTGGTAAACGTGTCTCCCCCATTAATACTGATGAGTTCAGCATCTGCAGGTGGAAACTGTGCGGGGAAAACCACTACGTCACTCTTGAGTGTGTCTGAGCTGAAACACACGTCATACTGCTGAGTAGCTTTGGAGTAAGACCAGCTCCCGTCAGGGTGGGTGGTGATCATTGGAGCTCCGTACCTGCTGAAACTGCCGTCTGTCCTGTGACATTTGACAGCTATTAAAGTGATGAGGCTGAGCAGGAAGATGGCTGACACCGACACTATGGCGATGAGCAGATACAGGTTTAAATCAGAGAAGCTCTCCTCCTTTATGGTCACATGTCTGAACTGAGTGTGGATGTCAGCTGCGCTTTCAACCACCACCACATCAATAGACACAGTAGCTGACAGGGAGGGTTCTCCATTATCAGAGACCAGCACCACCAAGGGGTGAGTTTTCAGGTCATTGTCACTCATTCTCCTCTTAGTCCTGATCTCTCCGGTGCTGGTTCCGATCCGGAAGAGATTGTTTCCTTTGGGCTCAGAGAGGTGATAAGAGAGCAGCGCGTTGTATCCAGAGTCTGCGTCTACAGCCCTGATCTTTGCCACAAAGTATCCCGCTTCAGCAGAATAGGGGATGCTCTCACTGTTGACGGAGCCGTGCTCAGAATAGGGCGCGAGAATAGTTGGATTATTGTCATTTTCATCCAGGATCAAAACATTCACAGTCACGTTGCTGCTGAGTGGAGGAACACCAGAGTCTGTGGCCTGAACTTTAAACTGAAACGTTTTTAACTCCTCATAGTTAAACGACTGCAGACTGACTATATCTCCAGTCTCTGAGTTGATGTTAATCATTGTCGAAAGCGGCAGTGAGTTACTGTTGTTATGGAACAATGAATAGCTCACCTGACCATTTTGACTGATGTCAGCATCAGTTGCTGTAACTGTTTTTATGACTTCTCCTACTGGACTGTTTTCTTTCACAAAGACATTGATAATATTTTCTGTGAAAAGAGGTTTGTTATCATTCACATCTGAGATGTGAACATTAATAACGCTGGTGCTTGAGAGAGGTGGGCTGCCCTCATCTGTAGCAGTGATGCTGATATTATATTGAGATGTTCTCTCTCTGTCAAGAGGACCGTCCACCACCAGAGAATAGTAATTCTTATAATTTGACTCCAACTTAAATCGGACATCATTGGAGATTTTACAGTTTACCATCCCATTTTTTCCTCCGTCTTTGTCAAACACTGAAACAAGTGCAATGGCGGTGCCAATGGAGGCGTCTTCTCTTACTGTGTTTAACAATGATGTAACTGTGATTTCAGGGGCATTGTCATTTACGTCCAAAACTTCAATCAATAATTTAGCATTTGAAGTGAGAGGAGAAGAAGCTCCATCACTGGCCTGTACTCTGATCTCAAAAGCATTGTTCTCTTCAAAGTCGAGATTCTTTTTAGTTGTTACAGTACCAGTATTTTCATCTATCGCAAACAGATCAATTTGTTTTCCTCGGCCTACTTCACTAAATGAATAAAACACTCGTCCATTCGGGCCTGCATCTAAATCAGTGGCATTTAATGTTATTATCGACGTGCCTATCTTTACGTTCTCATAAACACGTGTTTTGTACAGCGTTTGACTAAAAACAGGAGCGTTATCATTGGTGTCCAAAACATTTACTATAATGTCCATACTACCAGATTTCGCAGGAGTTCCTCCATCAATAGCAGTCAATGTGAGACGAATCACAGACTGTTTTTCTCTGTCTAAAGCTTTCTGAAGCAGTAATTCGGGCGTTACAATCTCTCCTTTATGTGTGGAAAGAGAGAAGTATTCATTCTGACTAAGCTTGTAGGTATTTACAGTATTTTTACCCACGTCTGCATCATGAGCTGGATGAAGGGGGAATCTACCCCCTGCTGCTGTGCTCTCTGTTATGTTTATTATCTGCGACGTTCTTTGAAATGACGGAGAATTGTCATTTACATCAAGGATTATTATTTCAATCCGGTACAGTTTTAACGGGTTATTGATAACTGCTTCTACACTGAGAGAACATTTGGGTTCGTCTCCGCAGAGTTCCTCTCGATCTATTCTCTCATTAACATACAGGACACCAGTCTTTAGATTTACCTCGAAGTATTTAGTCTTTGATCCAGCAACGATCTGAAACATGCGGGACTCCAAATCCTGCACATTGATGTTCAGATCTTTGGCGATATTTCCAACAACAGTCCCCAGGTTTACCTCCTCTGAGACGGAGTAAGAGAGCTGCCCAGACACCGAGTCCCAGTAACAATCCAGCAGCACGACCAAGAGATATATCCACACAGAGCTCGTTCTGCTCGGAAAAATCATTATTCCACTCATCGAGAAAAGGAAGTAGGATACACGATTGAGTGCGTTACCAAAACCAAGAAAATTTGTTCATGGAAAAAATAGTCCAAAGAAACATTTCAACATTTTCTCAACAGCAGAAGACGACCGCTCTTTGTCGTCCCACCTCTCTTTGTATTATGCCCGTCGACTGATCATCTGCTGAATCTGGGAGGAGCCTTGAACCCTCAAATTGATCGTCTAAATGTGATGGTCTGCAGCGTCCCCATGTGGACACGTTTCATAACTACATGCTTCATCTAACACAACAACACGGTCACGTAGTATTCTCAGATATATATTAATATGAAGCAAATGCAAAAAAGAACATCAAGTTACGATAACGTTGGTTTCATTAATTTATTAAATTAACTATATACCTATATTTTCTCTATTAAACGGATCATATTTCTCACGGAGGATGTAAATTAAAAGGAAACACTGATTGAATGACTGTTTGAAATCATCTTACAGTATAAGCAAATACATTATAACAGGGTCCTGCAGTGTCTAATTTGTTGGGTATGATTACAGATATAGGTTTTCATGTGATTTCCCATCCATCATGTTAGTTTATAGCTCATGTAATCATGTATTTGTACGAATAATCGAGGACGCTGTACAATTCAGTAGTAAGAGTTGTGTTCAGCACCATGGAGAGCGACCAGCCAAGAGATAGCCAATCGACAGTTCAAAATGATTGATTTTTAGATACAACAGCATATTAACAGCAAGCTCCATTTAAGACTGACTAATCAAAACCTAGATTATCATGTATTTTATTATTGCTGGAGAGGAGATCCCATGTTAACATCGCGAATGTTAGGAATCATTACATAGCCATTTAGTTTCTAAACAGGTAACTCTGCGATGTTCAGGAGATTGAGAGTAAAATATTTCTTAAGAACAAAAATAAATGGTCTGTTGCTATATGATGTAAACGAAAACTAGGGATGTATTGTCTCATAAAGAAGAGTGACAGTGTTAAGGCCTATGTGAAGTATAATTAAGGCAAAGGACAAAGATTCATGCGCACAGTTACGTTCAGGAGCATAACCTTTAGCTTTAGAGACCGGCAGGTTTAATGCAACTCCAGAGAAAGACAGTTTGTTTGTTGTGTGAGTTAGGTAAAAATGAGAATGACATTAATTTTCTGTTTTAATATCACATCTATGGTGACATAAGGGAAGTACTTTAAAAAAAAACATCTTTCATTAATGTTGATTACTTCTGGTTAGATGATTATGCAAAACTTGAGTTGTGCTTTATAAGAGGAACCTTTGAGGTAGCAAATTTTGTCTGCAAAGCCTGGGAGAAAAGACAGAATACACTATTTATGAATTAGATGTAAAAGGAGCATGGAACATTTAAATGTTGTAAATTGGTCAACCACTGCAACTACATTTCTGGTGTCTTATATGCCCATGGGGGTTGGGCACTTTCTGTTCTTGACACGTTAATAAAATACTATCAATAAATTAAAACGCCCAGAGCTCTTATACTAATAAGAAATAGCATGTTGTGAAAATTGTGTTAATTGGAAAGAGGTTGATTTATTCTTACCATTTCTTTGTTGGGTAAAGTCTGAGTCCTTGTAAAAGTGTCTCCTCCATTTATACTGATGAGTTCAGCATCTGCAGGTGGAAACTGTGCGGGGAAAACCACTACGTCACTCTTGAGTGTGTCTGAGCTGAAACACACGTCATACTGCTGAGTAGCTTTGGAGTAAGACCAGCTCCCGTCAGGGTGGGTGGTGATCATTGGGTCCATACCTGCTGAAACTGCCGTCTGTCCTGTGACATTTGACAGCTATTAAATGATGAGGCTGAGCAGGAAGATGGCTGACACCGACACTATGGCGATGAGCAGATAC